GTGTGTGTGTGTGTGTGTGTGTGTCTGTGTATGTGCCCGCGTGTTTGTGCGCTGGCGTGTGTGTGTGTGCGCGTGTGTGCTTGTGCGCGTGCGCACATGTGTGTATGTGCATGTGCGTGTGTGTGTGTCGGAGGGAGGGTTGGGAGGACCTTCCCCACCAATCAATCAATCAATCAATCAGTCAATCAATCAATCAACCAATCAATCAACCAACCAATCAACCAACCAATCAATCAACCAATCAATCAATCAATCAATCGATCAATCAATCAATCAATCAATATTTTTTTTTTTTCTTTTTTTTTTTTTTTTTTTTTCCACACACCAAAAACGACCGCCCCAAAAATTATTTTTTTTAACCTTTTTTTTTCCAAGGGGGTAGGGTGAGGGTTCTGGAACCCCAATCCGCAACCCCGACCCCCAACTCCCTCTCCCCTTGGCCCCTGCGGGCCGCGGCAGACCGCGGTCGCCGTGGTCATGACCGCGGCCGCGGTCCCGGCCACGGTCCGCAGTCGTGCTCGCGGTGACCGCGTCCGCTGGGGATTCATAGCTCTTGCATACTCTGACATCGGCAGGGGAGCAAGCTTGGCTCATGGTGTGTGTCTTCGTCATAATCTCTTTCCTTCTGCCCCTTACTTTTCTCGTTCCGAGCGGCGTTTGCTGCGCCTCTGTTTGCTTGAACCCTTCATAGAACTCGTCGGACCGGGTGGGTTCGGCGAGAACGCACTATGACACCCTCCACTTGGTGTTTCGAGGTGGGGGTTGACCAGTTGGTGCCTTCGTAGGCTAGCAAAGGCGTCGTTGCTAACTTGCTAGGGTTTGACCAGCACAGCGGCCAGCAGGGGAGGGGAGGTGTTGTTCCTCTTTTACGAAGATGGTGGGAGGCAAGTTTGAGCGGAAGGAGGAGAGTTGCATCATGTGGCGAACAAGGCGACGAAGTTGAAGATGGCAATGGTGGTGGGACTTTTTTGCGATGGACGTTGTCAGGATCTTGACGGAGTGGCTGTCAGTATCGTGCACTTGGAGGTGGATGTCTATTTGTTTTTTAAGAATTTGGAACCCGCCTGTTCGAAGTTTGAAGAGATGATAATGCGTGTTATTTGCATTTTTTAGGAAGGGGTCAAGATCAGTTAGACAGGCAATAGTTGTTGCCAGACAATCTCAAAGCTTTTTTGGATTAGAGCATGATTCCCACATTCTTCTTGATGATGATGAGTCTGTAGGCATGAGTAGGTCGATTGCTACGTTCCTACCTGAATTTTATGTTTGACAAAATTCCTAATCAACTTCGAATTTCTTTCAATAATACTTCTCTAGTTTTTTGAAATTTCCTGATCCTTGACTCCGTTTTTCTAAATCCTCACTTGAATTTAAATTCCTGTTTGACAAATTCCTAATCAAACTTTGAATTTCTTTCAATAGTACTTCACTGCTTTTTCAAAATTTCAATTTTTCTGCTCAATGATATCTTTTGACTCTTGATTCGCAATTCCAAACTGCTGACTTCATAATCCGTAATCTCTAAATCGGTAATCACAATAGTATGTTCCTGTTTCTGGACTGTGAATGTATGTTACTAAATCCTATTCCCAATTTGGAAATCTCTGATTGAATCCTGAATTCATAAGTGTACTAGTATTTTTTCCACACTGGATGTGGAGAGACTCACTTGGATCAAGTTGGATGGGGTACCGGGGTTCTTTTCTCTAATTCTTCCCTCCATGTTGGGGTCACATAGGTAGGGGTGAGTTAACTGAAGGAGGGATACGACGCATCTTGCTGGCGATGGGGCTAGCTGGTAGGATGGTATTAGGGCACAACAGCAACGAAGATGGTGGCTCTGTTGTGATGAGTCTTGCTGGAGCAGGGGTAAGGGGGAATGCTTAGGTGGTTTGGGTGGGTCAAGCATGTCCAGTGCAGGAAGGGAGCTAGATAACTGAAGACATGGCAGCGATAGTGTTTAGCGGATCGTTTGACAACGGGCCAATACCGTTATATCCACGGGTTCACGGCTGGCCGATGCTAGAACGACGCTGGTCGGAGCTGGGGTTTGGTTGTGCTGCCCTGTAACCTGAGTGGAGCGGGGGTTCGAGGCCTGGTAGAGAGATCTGGGGAATTGCCGAGGGTGGAAGGCATTCCAGTGGGTAACCATGAGTTGTTGCTAGGATGACGCTGGCCAGAGGTGGGGCGGGTCGCGCTGCCCTGTAACCCAGCAGTTGGGGATGCGAGGCCTGGTAGAGCTTGGCATCTAGGATAGGGGGTTGAGGCAGTTGTAGGATGGTCTGCTGAATAACACTTGGTGACTGGGGTAATTATTATGTGGTTCTGTTCATGTCGGCTCCCAAATAATCTCAGTTGGTTTTCACTCTCTTTTATCTACTGCTCGCAGTTGCTCCCAGTAGTTTTCTGATGGCTTTTCTGATGCTGTAATGTTCGTAGGATTTTCTGATGGCTCCTAGCAACTCACTGTAGGCTTTTCTGATGCTGTAATGTTCGTAGGATTTGTGCTTGTCCGATGCCAGAACAACGCTGGGCGGTGCTGGGCCATTGCCCTGTAACCTGTTGATAGCAGGAACATGAGGCCAGGTAGAGAGATCTGGGGATGCTTTGGGGTGGGCATTTCAAGGGACAACCGAGGGTTACTGTCGGACGACGCTGGCCGGAGCCGGGGTGAGTCGTGTTGCCTTGTAACCTAACAGGGTGGGGGTGTGAGGCCTAGAAGAGCCCGACAGTGAATGAAACAGGGTTGGAGGGTCGTAGAGGGATTTGTTTGGGTTCCTTTAGAGTATTTTGAAGACTTCTGTGGTGCTCCGTCTGTGGCTACCAGGATTCTTTAAGACTGTGAAGGTTTTTAGTGCTCCAAAGCTATATTGATGCTCTTAGTCTCCTATTCTTAGCTATTCTTAGCCGAAGCCGGGTAATGGCCCCGGTAACTCAATTGCCTCGCATACTTTTCCTAATATGTTTTCTGATGGGACGCTGGGCCCGGTTCCCAGCACGTGCTGCTCCCCATGGATAGATTGGAGCATTGTCCTTAAAAAAAAAAGGAAAAAAAAAAAGAAAAAAAAAGGAAAGGAAACTCATCAAGTGTCGAAATACAAGGTAACTCAGCGCTGATAAAAGTCTCCAATGATTGTGAAATGTGATCTGAAATACAATGTCTCGTAGCCAAGGACGAAGGAGGAGAGGGGGAGGATAGACTTAGAAGTGGAAGAGTAAGTATCCATCAATGTCCACGTAGATAGAAAACCCCCTGTGTTCCCACTTCTCTTCGGGTTCCACCTCTCCTCCACGTCAGCAAACAGTGTCCCAAAACGAGCCTGACGAGATCTGATCACATCAAAGTGCCACGTAGGCACAGTTCTCCCATATAGACATCACAGCAGCGCGCAATGTCGACTTCAGCACCAGGTAAGTCTCTTCTCTCTCTCTCACTCAATCAATCCACAGATCCCGATCTCCCTCCTTGTTGCATCCCAATCAGTGTTGAAGACAGTGTGGCATGTGCCACGGCAGCAATGTCGAAGACAGCGTGGCCAGTGCCACATCAGCAATCAAGAAGACAGCGTGGCATACCCTACGCCAGCAAGCATGAAGACAGCTGGCACCAAAAGCAGGAAGGCGCCAGCACGCGGATACAGCAGTCTCGCGTCATTGTCGCACAATGCTAGCGCAGAGCCAGCGTCTTGCCAGCGTCCAGCCAGCGTCTTGCCAGCGTCAATTCAGCACAGCTAGACTGAATGTTGACTCCCAGGGCAGGGCCAATAAGTAGTGTTGATGAGGTTGACCTGCCTTTGGTCCCTCACCCACGGAGGCTCAGATTGACTCACAGCCGACGGCCTGAATCTCGTACAGTTACAGACTTCCACTTGGACCCAATGTTGTCTGGATACCTGCATACCATCAAGTGTGTGTGTTTGACCAGCGGCCTGGGCTGGGTCCGTGAAGACTTTGAGTCGTGGGCCTCAATATCCTGACAGACAGTTGACTTTGGTCAACTGTCGGGCACAGGGCCTTTGAACCCACGTTTCAGGGGTTCTGTGCCCCTCGGTCGGCGCCGGGCCTGAGGCCAATTTTGTGGCCTGCGGGTGGTCCCCTTGGCCATCGACATAGGCATATATGAGCGGGTATTGCACTTCTCTTGCTGCTACTACTAATGGGGTCAGTGGAGGGTAAATGACTGCATAACATTGAGTAGCTGAGATGAACAGAGGAGGCAGCAGATAATTGGCATACAGAAGAAAAGGAGGAGCTGGGTGATGATGGGCGGTCTCCACACGACTGTCCAGCCTGCATGATGTCATGACGATGATGAGCCACAACTCTGTGACAGGGCAATCGCAGTATTTCAGATTTCCCCATGCCATTGGGAGAGTTACCACCTCCTTCTTCCAAACTTCCAAAGCAGATCTGACAAGAAGGAAGACTGCATGCACCGTGATGCATGCAAACTTTGCAAATAGGTCGAGGTGACTGGTTAGGCAAGGGCAAGAAAAGGAGAAGGCAGAGAAGGAGTCTTGTTGGTGCAGCGCGACCCCTCTTGGGGCCTTCCAGATGCAGCCCCATCATCACTGTCCAATCACACTGTAAAGAGCCTTCGTTGCCTAGACGGGTTTCCCACCACGCACCCAATGGATAAAACTCTAGTTTGCTCTTCACCGGGTCTCTCATTTCGTCCAACCATTAAAGTTCCCACTGCTCCCTCGTGCTACCTACTCTTGTAATAACTACATTCGACTAACGCTCCCACCACTGACGATGGCACTCACACTGCCCCCGCAGTGCCGCTGTCGATAGACGAATAATCTGTAGGGATACCCTCTCAATGACATCCTCACTATCCGGAACCCTGTAAAGAGCCTTTGTTGCCAAGACGGGTTTCCCACCACGCACCCAGTGGATACAACTCTAGGTTGCTCTTCACCGGGTCTCTCGTATCATCCTACCATTGGTGTTCCCCTTGCTCCTTCGTACTGGCTATTCTTATAATGACTATAAAGAAAACCAACTTATCAAAAGGCAAGAATACCTAATACAAACGAGAGAAGAAAATTACAAATTTACTCCCGTACCTCGGAGATGACAATTATCCCTCCCTCTCAGTCCTAAAGTACTTCAATAATACGTGTTTTCTAAAAACGAAACACTAAGGGCAGCGTCCGCACCGGAACAGATGTGGTACGAATTTCGGGGAGACAACAGCGTACAACAACGTAAATCAAGGAATGGTGGTGCCCTACATACAAAAGGCAGAACGTCAAGCATAGTTTAAGCCTACCTAGAAAACTACGGGTCCGTGGATGACAGACAGAGTCTGTGCCAGCCTAGAAAACTACGGATTTCATCTTTCCGCAGAAATCTTCCTTAGTGAATCTAGCCACGAAATACTGGTAATGTAAACACCCTGACATCAGCAAGCGATTATTATACCCTGTGAGACACGGTTATAACCTAAAAAATTCTGCTTAAAAACAAAGTTATAGACGAAATTGAGCCAATCTAACCTAGCATAATGCCAAATACCGAGCAGCTGCTTCTGTGTCCTCAGCCCCTGATGGCTGTTCTTGGTGTTGTCGGTATCTCATCTCGACTGTTGTCCCAATTCCTTTCCACCGACGTTGGGCAGCTTTTCGCGGCCAAGTGCCTTTTCCAGCCTCCGGCCAGTGGGGTCCAAGCCTTAGGATGCCCGCCCCAAAGCATCCCCAGATCTCTATGCCAGGTTGATTTTTCCAATGGCCGGGCACTTCCAAGCCCTGTCAACCTGTAACGACGTGGGCCATCAACGTTGCCGGATCAATTGGGTCCCTAGATGCGTCCCGGGAATTTCATCATCACCGTCCAGATCTGCCGTCGTCATCCAGTCAGACGAGTTAGCCTTTCTATGACGAGACTCATCCGCGGCCTCTGCTCCGGACTGCGCGAGATGCAGGCCATGGCGATCTCTGCCATGCCGCATACAGCAATCCAGTCCACATTTCTGTCTGCCCAGTGGAGCCCCGGATCTGCAATCTGCCGAATACGATCCATAAACCTTTCCCCAGTGTTTATCTCGGTTTTGAGTGCTGGCATTACTGCTTTTTGCGACTCGGCTTGTCCTTCCCCGTCGGTGATGAGGGGTACAGAGTCACCAAGTACTCTGGTCGCCCAGGACGCCAGACTTACGTCCCCCTCCTCCTTCTCCATCTCCTCCCTAGTCTCGCTGCCAGCAATAGGCGGTGACCGACCGAATGGTTTTCTACCCGTTACGAGTTCCAGCAGCACCACCCCGAAAGAGTAAACATCATTCTTGGTCGTAAGTCGGACTGAGGTGTAGTACTCGGGCGCTATGTATCCCAGTGTCCCTGCCACGTTGTACGTCTCCACGGTCTCGCCTGCTGGCAACTGACCAAAAACGCTTCGCCCCACCTTCGCCAGACCGAAGTCAGACAGATAAGCCCTCACTCCTGTCYTCMTGCCTCCTCCCCCATCGCCCTCCCTTTCCCCCCCACCTCCCCCTGTTGGTCCACCTCCCAGCAGCACGTTCTTGCTCTTGACGTCTCTGTGAATCACCGGCGGGTCTACCTCTTCGTGAAGATAGCGCAGTGCTCTAGCGATCTGCTSGGCAATGGAGACTCTATCTTGCCAGCTGAGCGGTGCTCGCTGCCCTGTACGGCCGGAGCTGGAGCTGCTGCTGTTGCCRATCCTATCTCCCTCCCGTTGTGTCCCACGCGTTKCCACCGGATGGTKGYCAGATCTGTCTTCCTCTTCCTCTTGGCCAAGGCCACGCTTGGCGGCGGCCGTAGAGACAGTCGGAGGGAAGTSCARCTGTTCGTACAGCGTCCCTCCCTCCGCGAACGGGAAGTAGATGATCAACGACTTCCCTCCCTCTTCACAGAAGCCGATGATGCTGCACAGGTGGCTGTGACGAAGTGTGCCTAGAACGTCCAGCTCCGCTTGGAACTGCCGAAACATCGCCTTCGAGAAATTGTCCTTCATCACTTTGACCGCCACCACTTGCCCRTTGCTGAGCTGTCCCTTGTACACSTCMGCCGCCCCCCCCCTCCCCACCAATCGCGCCGCACTGAAGCCATCGCAAGCTTCCCTGATCTCCTCGAACGCGTACCCTTTCACCAGGGAAGGCCGTCTCAGTTGAATCACGGCTCCGTCATTTGCTGCCGACTTCTGCTGCTCCCGTTTCTCCTGGCTCCACGTGGTCCACGCAGAGGACGACCACAKCRAAGAACCCYCCAGGTCATCTTCCCGTCTGGATCCCCGTCCGCTGTCTCGTCGTCCCCCTTGCTTGAACCGGGATCGCAAGCAGTGCCACCTGCTCTCCGCGATGGTGGCAGCAACAGCAGCTAGAACGGCAAGGGAAGACGCCACAACCCCGATGACGACTCCTGCCGAAGGACGACGAGGTGTAGTAGGCTTGGCCGAGATGCCGCAAGGAGGGAGAGCCGATTTATTGACGCCAAGCTCCAAAATATCGAAAAACGCTCTTCCTACGTACAGCACCTCGTCATCCGGCAAGATCGCCATTCCCAGCAGCAAATAACCGGCAWYTCCGTCCGTACGMCTTGACCTGGCCACAGTGCGACAGCTGATAGCTGGCCCACCACTATACTGGAATGTGAGCACCTGCAGCCGTCCTCCGTCATACTCTGACACAAATAGATGACAACCGTCCGACRTTAAAGCCAGCCCCACGGGCTTCTCAAACTCTGCACCAGCACCTGTGCCCCTGCCAGCGATCGTCTCCACAGCTCGACTGGCTGTTTTCACCCGTCTTATCACCGAATTCCCCCAATCTGCCACGTACAAGAGCTCGCCGTCCGCGGATATGGCGGACGAGCTCACGTAGGGACGATTGAATCTCACGGAGCKAGGATCCTCGCTGCTRTCCCGGAGWTCAGGGGAACTGGGSYTMMAATCTGGACCTATCCACCTCTCCAGCTCGACATTCCGTCCATCGCTGACCGAAAGGTTCATTCGGTAGAGTGCACTCGATGACGATGCGTACAAGACGCGACGGTTCGCGTCCCAAGCCAAACTGAGGATTTCTTCCTCTAGGGTAACCTTGGCATAATCTTGAACCGAGAGCGGAGGAGGAACAGAACCGTTGTCCACGTTGTACGCTCTCAAAGAGMGGTTGAMGTCGTCMGCTACTATCGCGATGCGGTTCAGCGAATTGGTCTTTGCCCGTGACACTCCATCAGGGATCAATGCAAACGCTCGACAAAAGCCTCCACGGCCTGGTGGTCGCCAGGGCCCTCTCACAASCRACACATTACYCCCGCCGCTTCCCATTGGCTCCGCCGTTTTGACCCTCCATAACCGATCGCTCATGAGGAAGAACAACGACCGGTCCGCAGGTGAGAACGAGAGGGACCACACGTCCGACCAGCTCACCTCACTTGCGTTCCACTCCGGCTGGTAATTGCGGATCGGACTTTCGCGTAACGTCAACAGATCCTCGTCAAGGATTTCAAATCGTAGGTTACGACTTGCGTCACTAGCCTCGAGTTGCCTCCGCCAGCAGCGACGATGACGACGATGCTGACASTGATGCCGATGCTCCCRCAGAAGATGGCGAGGATGAYGACGACGGCKATGGCCGTAGGGATGCACGTACTGCTCATCAGCCCAGGGATGACGTCGAGAGTACTGATGCATATGATCATCGTCTTCCAGCATCCATGCAATTCCCCGAGTGCCACAGCCGCTACCTTCWCCGCACGMCAAGGATGACGGCGGCTCCAAGGAGGAAACGTTGGACGGGGAGTAGGCCGCGGCGGCGGCAAGGACTGCGACCGAACCACACTTCAAGTTGGTCCCTTCGATATGCCATGCGACCGT